GTTTCGAGTACAGCTCCGCTGGTCTTCCTTCTTCCCGAGAGTGGAAAGGCGGAACGTTTTCTTGGCCCCTTCAGTCGTGTTTACCGCACTTCGACAGACGTTGACAGATGTCAGTATTGAACCGTGGCTCGTGCATGATGGAACGCTAGAACGCCGCTTTTATGGTCGCATCTCGCAAGCGTTTCAGACGTTATCTGACGTAAGCCGAATAGCAGACGAACGAAGCCGAAAACGGACGCCGACGCGCAGCTTTCATGTCTGCACCTGTGCATGGCAGGCAACAATAGACGGTGGGCTCGAATAGCAGACGACGCCGGATGGTGCCGCTCGTCTGCTCGCAGAATTAGCAGGCGGTGTCAGACTTGCAGACAAGACGCACCGGGTGTTGGGGAAGTTGAGTCCATGCGGAGCGCAATTTTGTCTGCTTCTTTCGAAGAGGTTGTAGTGACGTCAAAACACCAAGCTCTGTATAAATCTCATTGGTAGATAGCGGGTAGACCTCAAAGATATCTTTCTTGAAATCGACCCACTATCCTTCAGTAAGAGGCAATGAGAGCTTGGCGTTCTGACATCACAACAACCTATGCAAAAAAAAAAAAACGGACGAACTACTGCTCTTTATTCGGTTCTTCCACGAGACCACGGTGCACCGCTATTACCGGATGAAAAATCACACTGGAACCCGCCGGAATTCATGTTGGAGGCATTTGTCACTGTTATGCTATGTTATGTGTGTTTTGGGGACGTGTTTGCACTCTAGGTTGTCCGCTCAAACCAGGCATAAAATAGTCACTTGCGCCGTAATTAATTCGTCCAGCAGTAAAGGTCCATGACAACAAAGCTTCTGCCAGCAGTATTGTTTTTCCTAAAATTCCAGCAAACAGGACAAGGCGACTAATGAGCAATCGGCTCGCCGGCGTTAAGATTGGCTTCGACGGATACGCCGGCACAAATTTGACCAGGCGGGTAAAGACGGGAGCATATCGCGGCAAATCTTGGGCACTAACATATCCGGTCCCGAGAGGAAGAACGGGAAAGAAAGCGACAAAAGAGTAAAGAAAGGCTGTGTCTCAAATCTTAACCAGATGGATCCGAGTTACTCCAGGGGTACGTGCCACACGGTATCACACATTGAGAAGCGCTGGACCCGGGTAGGTATAAGAACCCCAATTGTATAACTTCACTTGCGCTCGTTACTTGAAACATGTAATGAATTACAATTACAAATTATCGAGTCTCAAATGTATTGAATTACCGTTATCAATTACTTTCGCTGAAAAGTAACGGATTACTTTACTCGTTACGTTACAAATTACTTTCACGTTACTTTTTTCGTACACTTACCCAAGAAACGACAAAAAAAATAGATATATTTTCAAAAATGTTCTGCAACACTACTTTTCATTTCTCGTACGCCCGTATTATGGTACTCCTTGTAAACACAAAAATATTGTATTTAAAAATAAGAGTAGGTGCACTCCCATCACCTGTAAGCTGACAAGGCGCCGAAAGCTGCAACCACACCCGCCATCCCGCTAGCTTACTGCCCCCGTAAATGATCCCTGGAATTGTGCAGACAAAGCTAGCGGTGCGCATGCTCAGTAGCAGCGTCTACCTCCGCTACGAGATTCGGAGCTAAAGACGCGATAAATGAAAGCTCCCTTTTTACTCGGGTGTTTCGCCTGTTATTCACAAGAAAAGAAAAACTTCATTCTAACGTTACAATGTATAGCCAATAGAGAATGCAGGTGTCCCAACTTACCTTGATGTCTTTTTTGTTAGATAGAGTTTGTTTTTGTTGCTGATAACAATGTGTGTTTTTTTGGCAAGCAAAGTATGCACTGAAACTCAAAGTTTCCGTTCTCCTTAATGCCCTGAATTTTGAGCATCTCATTAAGAGATGGCCTTGCAGACGACGGACACTCCATGATCGAAAACTCGACCAGTCGGAGAAAAAGTGGCGAGTACGGGTTATTGATCCTTCATCCATTCTCTCTTTCATGTAGGCCAGGGGAGGGGAGGGCATACAGAGCGAGAGAAGCGGTAGCCATCGGCCTCACAAAACAATAGAGGATCACTCCACTTTTACGCGTTTTCTCTCTCCATCTATCGCTGTCAACACTCCTCAGATGGCCAAAAACCCCCTCCCCCCTTTATGTTGACAGTTGACTGTAAAGTGAGGGGTGGACTCGACCACCATGCACAGACAAGTAAACCAAAAGAAGCATCATCCGTACTCTCGAAGACAATGCTCTTAGCCTCGCGTCGGACGCTTTTCCGCCGTGTCTCAAGAGCGCGCGATAATTAAGTAGCGCACATCAAAGACAAAAACAATTCGACCCCCTCGCGCGAGGCAACGTCGTCTGTTACGCGAGTTGTGAACCTGCGAATGGGGGGGAGGGGAGGGGGGGAGGGGGTGCGGTACGGACCCGCATTAGGTGTCTGTGCAAGTGGCGGGGGACGTTGAAGAAGTTGGAAAGTGCGAAACGGTGTAAAAGACAAAAACAAATAAACACGAAGAGCTTTTTACTGCTCGGGAGAAGAAGAAAACCAGGACGGAGGACAAAAGAGAGGCTATTCGGCGTTGCCTTACTTGATATTTGTCTTTTGTATATTTGTACATGCCTTGCCCACTTTTCTTCGTTCTGGTGACCGGTCATAAAAAGCATCGTGTGTTTTTTTTTTTTTTCGGCTATTCTCCCCTTCCTGATGTTTTCTATTTTGTTGAAACTTCTTTCTTTATGCTGCTGAATGTTCTGTTTGTATTGCTCTAGTTACTGTAGTATGATCAAACATTTAAAAAGTAACCCAATAATTGAAGTAATTCGTTATCAATATTTTCTAACGATATTACATTACAAATTACCTTGCAAAAAAGTAACGTGGCAATTACAAAATTACTTGAAAAAGCAACGGATTACAAATAATCCATTACTTCTAACAGAATACTTCCTAAGTCTGGGTTTAACACACTTACCCTGGAGTAAGATCGAAAACATCTTGGAACACGGTCAAAGAAAGCAGACAAAGTGTTTGGCGTGTTCGTTCCGCCATGTCTAGTTGCAGTTGCTTGAGCGCTGTCCGATTTATGTCTGCCCTTCCGAAGCGGCCAAATGCCTTGTACCTTTCGCGTTAGATGACTACCGTAACTCTATAATCTCGACACAAAAACTCGTACTCCACCTAAGCGTTTGTGGACTCCACTTCGTGTCAGGTGAGGAACCTCTTTGCGGTTGACTAGGACAAAAAAAAAAATAGTCTGAAGTCTGGTTATACAAAGACGGCTCTATGACTCTATGGTACTGCTGATGCCGCAATGAGATGCCGAATGCCTCCAACTTGGTGCCAAGCCACCGATAGCAGACAACAATGTGGGCTTCGATTTTGAGTCTAACTTGAATTTGCGCCAGGTGCAAGAAGCCTATAGGCTTCCGAGTATGTTCGGGGCTTAAATCTGGCCTTGACCTCCACCTGAAGTGCGTCTAACGAAATGTTCAGTTGGGCTAATTGGTTCACGTCTGCACCAACTAGCCCAACGCCGAAGGACATAGACAAAGTGAAGAAGGTGACGGGAACGCGGAGAACTAAGGCGTAATTATTGCCCTTTTTCCCCTCAAAAACTGTGAGTCCCCAATTCACTCCCTTTAGAAATAATCTTTTTTTTTTTTTCCACTTCAGTCTCCTTTAGGGGAGGGGGGGTTAATCTCTTGCCTCTCAACGTGCAAATTTCGCTACGGAAAACTAAAGTTCACAAATGCGCGAGAGTATTGATTCTTTTTGAGGTTGAGTATGAGGATTTCATGAAGGCCATGCTACCCTTGGATTTTCCCGTTCAGTGCTGAATATTTGTAATAAAATCCAGAATTCTGACCATTATGAACATTTTCTTACTGTTTGAGCGACTACTGAGGCAATATTGAAATTAAAATTGTGTATACGGTAAAGAAAACAAATAGAATTACAGTACGTACTAGAGTACTACCAATGTTAATTTCAAGCAGCCCTGAGGCGTACACCGTTACAAGTAACGAATTACTTGTAATTCCTTACTTTTCAAATTATTTTTTGATTGCCCCATTTACTTTTTACGGCAGTAATTTTTGTTGTAATTTTGTTAAAATACAATTTAGCGGCTTACTTTAATTACTCGTGATTTAAATAGAAATATGAACATATTATATGAACTGGTGCCACAACAGTGTGCGACCACTCGCTCGTCCAAAGCTCAAAAAAAAACGAGCGCTGCCGTCCTTGCATGTTTTAATACTCCATGCAACTATCTCCGCTCGTACAGAAGCTGCACTCACGCTTGAAGGTTTCGTTAGAAAAGGGAGCTTTCATAGATCAGTTCCTTACCCCCGACTCTCCTAGCAGAGGTAGACGCTACTACTGAGCATGCTCACCTTTATATTTCTCTACATAATTCCAGGGATCGTTTCTGGTTGCCGTAAGCTAGCGGGTTGGCGGGTGTGGTAGCAGATCTCGCTGCCTTGGCAGCTGACAAGTGAACCCAGTATATCTATTTCATTTTTTCAATAAAAAAATATCTTATTTTTTGCAGTGACTACCATAATGCGGGCGTATTAAGAATGGAGAGTGGTGTTGTACAACATATTTGAAAACATTACTTAGTGGATTGTTTTCGTGGCAAGTATACGGGAAAAGTAAAGTGAAAGTAATGTACAACGTAATGAGTAAAGCAAACCGTTACTTTCAAAAGAAAGCAAATTTTGACAGTAATTCATTACATACGAACCTCGGTAATTTCTCACTTAATCCATTACATTTTTTAACAGTAACTTATTACATTTGAAGCTCGGTAATTTCTCATCTTAATCCATTACATATTTCAAGTAGCGGGCACAGATATGACTACGACGATTCCATAAGTAGATGAATCCCTAGTTTAATATTTTACAGGCTAGATTGGGGATCCCGAAAAGGTGGCGATTTCCAATGACCTCATTGAGTTTCGCTTAGGCACTTTGGGAGGAACCTACCTCGGCCGGCGACTCTAGCCAGGAAGTCGGCGTCCTCCACGGTGACTGCGGCTGCGGGGATGCGAGGCGCTTCGTCGTCGTACGACAGCTTTCCCGTGTGAGGCGTGTACAGCGAGAACGGTGCCGCAGAACGCACCAGCGTCGCGACGGCTCCGTACCTGCGCAAAGTCGACAGTTTCCCTCCACAACGGCCAGAAACGGTCAACTGCGCCCCAGCCAGGAAGGCCACAATACACTTGATCCGCGTCACATAGCTTGCCAACCCGATTGATAGCGTTCCTTCTGTTCTTAGTTCATGCGAGTTGCATCACAATCATCAACCTCCTGGCCGCCTTGACATATCACATGGTGCGCAACTTCCGGTAAGCTATCCGCAGGCTCCCTTCATAGACGTAGCAAGCTCTCTTGGCTGCGTGTCGAATCCAGCCCGCTCGCGTTCAGGGGAAAGCTCCAAAGCCTATTTACCTGGCCGCCATGGACGGGCCCCGCTCACGGTACACTACGTAGCTCTTGTAGTCGCGCCACTTGGGCCTGAAGACCACGATGGTTCCGTTCACCTGGAATTATAAAAAAAGTAAAATATTGCACGAACCTCCGGAATAACCTGCTTCCAAATGTAGCCGATTTGGGGACAAATACAAGCCGTAGAATTTCAACAATGCCTTGTGCAGAAATATTTCGTCATGGTGCACCTGAACACGTTTGTCGCTACGCGAACGCCCAATTGCCTTTAAGCAAATAGCATTCAGATTATCATCTTCGGGGTGATATGCCTGCTGGAAGACTCGCTGTCGCCTTCAGTGATCTGACATCACTTTACATAGGAACGGCGCCGCTTTGCAGGGACTGACATCTCCAGAAAGTCGGCATTTGCAAGCACAAGCAAAAAAAAAAAGCACGCTGAGAAAGCAAAGAAAATGTGCTATACGAAATGTGTATACGAAACCAAAAAAAAAAAAAAAAAAACGAAAGTAACAAACCGTGCCATGAAAGCCAAAACCCCGCGTCGCTTCCAGTCACTAGCACCTGCGTCAGCTGCTAAACACATACAATTTGACTGCAGGACGTCTCTATCAAGCAAGTGGGTCAACTGGAAACACTGATCACTAAAGCGAAACGACAAGTCGAGGTAGGCGAGACTGAGGCCCCTCTGTACTGAAAGGTAGCGACATCTCTTGAAGAATGCCGCCCACTCCTCTCATTGGACGAATGTGATCCACCAGGCGGAGCTCAATGCGCGCCGCTTTTGTTTTGGTTGTTTTTGCTTTTCGAGGCCCCTCGGCGCCATTTTCGCTCCGGTCACTCGGCGCGCCAGGCAGCGTCGGCTACTAACTGCCTGGGTAAGCTGCTGCATTCAGACTGGCGTTTGAATAAGTCGAATTGCAACAGCCATGCGGTTCCGCTCGTTGTCGCCATCAAATGCGGGTGGATTTGTAATAAGTATTTAAGCAAGAGCATTCGCAAATGCGGTCAAACCGCCAGTGTGAATGCAGCAGCGTATGGCGCGTCTGGGGAGATTGGTTTGGGGGTCTGGGCTTCGCACGGCAGCATCACAGCTCCGCTTCTCGCTCGGCGGCAGTTCGTAACCTTTGACGGGCTGCTGTGATGTCAGATGCAACTGGTGCAACAACCGTCGCAGCGAGGACACGTTTTTCAGCATTCCATGCCTGCACTTCGCACGCAAGCTTCACATAGTTCCGGTTTTCGCTTGGCGTTAGTTCGTGAGCTATGACGGGGTGCTGCGCTTTCGGGTGCATCAACTGTAACATCGACGGCAAGAAATGCTTCAAATTCTTCAGCATTCCATCTGACAAGCACGACATAGCTCGCCGGAAGGTTTTAGTGTGTGTGCGTCTCAATAGTTTTACTTATCTCGCCGAGTGCAAGCTATTCGTTTATTGTGATAGCCACGATTCAAGTTTTAGCATATGTGCCTTAATAATTTTATGCATCTTGCCGTTGAATTTTGTATAATCTAGTCATTTGCTTTGTGATATATATATATCTGGGATTCAGCTTCTAGTATCCGTGCCTTAATATTTTTATTTATCTTACTGTTGACTTTTGTGCAAGCTTTAATTTTCTTTCTGATAGCTGGGATCCAACTTCTAGTATCTGCATGCTTTAATACTTTTATTTACCTCGCAGTTGACTTTAGTGCAAGATAGTCACTCACTTTGTGATACGAAATTCAGCCTTTATTCTTGGAATATTTTGTATATGTCCGTTGATTTTCGTGCAAGCTAGTTGTTTGCCCTTCGGATAGTTGAAATTCAACTTTTAGAGTCTGTGCCTTAATAGTTTTATGTATGTCACACTGCCTTCTGTGGAAGCTAGTCATTCACTTTATCATAGCTTGGATTCACCTTCTGGTATCCGTGCCTTAATATTTTTATGTATTGCCTTTGACTTCTGTGCAAGCTAGTCATTCACTCTGCCATGGCTGAGATTCAGCTTCTAGTATACGTGCCTTAATGTTTTCATGTACCTCGTCAGTGAGTGCAGTAGAAGCAGAAGCTCCGTCTTCAGCACACACCTGTCGCCGTCTGCTATCATTTCGCTGTGCAATCTCTTTGTTATCAAAAGCAAAAGCTAGTGCTGGCCTGGAGGTGGAGCTTATAGACGACTATGTAGACATGCTGCTTCACACAGTTGCTCTTCGCTGTACTACAGTGCGATCACTTGAGATGGCACGAATTAGATTGTAACAGGATTAGTATAATCATCTTTGAATTGTGACTCAGGCCCTCACAAGCGGTCTGAGCACAGCGAAGCAACTGAGTGAAAAGTAGCCTTGTACCAGTCCTTGTGAATTGGCGTGTAGTAAAATAAAAATATGCATTACCTGTGACTTAATTTTAGTTTTAGTATTTTTTTTTAGTTTTCTTACAGTCACTGGCAGCAGAACTTGAAGGCCTATGTTGCGGTTATTTGCAATAATAAAGAAATGCTTTCAAGAGCCTAAATTGTTCAATGTCATCGCTTGATGAATAAAACGATATTATTTTAGTTAAGGAAACGACACTCTATAAAGGGTTCACTACTGAAAAGAGATAATGCCCTGCCTCCAATAAGCCAAGTAAGCTTACAAAATCTTTGTAATGAGCCGAGTAAACTGACAATGTCTGGTAAAAACAAAGTACACACAAGGCATCCCAAGAAATTTTCAAAACTACAAAGCTTTGAAAAGTTCTAGGTGTTAGCGGATAGTTTGGGTTTTCGCTCGTTCTGCTAAGATTCTTTTACGCAGAATATTCCGATTTCGTTATGCCGAGGAGAGGGTGAACGCTCCCAGCCGCGCATTTGTAGCAATAGGGATCAAATGTTAGTAGATCGTTTTTGCGCAACTATTAAGACACGTTGCGCACGCCAAGGACGGGTATCGTTAAAAAGGAAAACATTTTTTTTATTATTATCTAGACTACAGAAATCTCCGCTTAACATGAATTAAGCGCAAACTTTACAAGTGGAGGCTCCTTGCGTTCGATCGCGCATCGGCTGCGTGAACGCTCGTGCAGCGGGAGCCCGAGTCAAAGTTGCCCGCTCACGTCTGTAGCCTATTTGGTTGGTCTATGTTAAGGTGAGGCGAAGTACAGTCGCCTTGAGGAGAGTGCGTCAGTTGTGAAAGAAAAAAATAGCAATCGCTTCGTGCTTACCTGTCACGTCTTGCCTCCCTTACAAAGCGACGAAAGAACAAGCGTGTGGTCTCCCTTCTTTGCGTCTAGGGCACGCGTGCGGTAATACAAAAACACTGCCTTCAATCGTACCAAAGTTACTGTGCAACATACAAGAGTTCGCTGCTGCGCTAGTAGGCGGCTTTGCTCGCGCAGGAGCGAAACAGCCTCACTCCGGTAGCATAGTAACGCAGACCGTGCACGCATCGCGTGCCCATTCTCGCCCTAGTTCGCGTTTCCCAGGCCGTCAAGTCGTTCTGCTGATATTTCGGAAGTCTCTGTAGTCAATTATGCGTTAAACTGTCGAACATTCAACAGAAATGCAATCGCAAAACACAAAAACTAACGGAAACAACCTTCCGCCGCATTGTATCCAAGCGAGAGCGTCTGCTAGCTGGGAGGAATCCATGCGGCGCCACCGTCGGCGCGCGAGGGCGAGAGAGAAAAAAGAGGGAGAGGAGGGAGCAGGGAGCAGGGAGAGGAGAGAGCAGAGATAGCGGCGGCCATGCTGTTGTTTGTTATGGTATGAATCAAAACAAAAGTGCCTGTCTTTTAAACCTTTTGTAAATAATAATAACTCTCATTACAATACTTATTTTTAATCGCAAAAGTATTCCCCTCAAAAGGAAATTACTATATATTACAAAGGTTTAACAAACAAGACCTAAGCGGTCAATCAATCTCTTAGAGAATGAGAAGAGTTGCTATCGCACGTCACTCCGTGACATATAATGGTCACTGTTGTCCTGTTGGCTTGCGAACAGGAGATTGGCTCATTGTCATTTCAAGAACACAGTGGCATATAATGATGAGTGTGTGTTAGTCTGACAATACCAATGGCTTAATAGTGGAAGCATGTTGAAATAGGCTGATTTAGGCGTGTTCGTTTTACCTCAACAAGTTGAAATTGCTCCAGCATTTCTCAATTGTATGTTATTTTGTAAAAGCGCAATTCAGGTAGTTTTCTGCAAAGTAAAGAAGACAATAACAAGGTACATAACTTATTGGCGATAACAGCCACCCCGTGACGTATAACTGCCCCTCTTTGACGTATCATACCAACTTTGTGTAGCACGATTTAAGACGGACGAACTAGCCGTAAACTAAAATCACTCTTAGGCAATAAATATTGCTATAAAAATGTTCATTTCGCGGAGAAATCGTTTTCTGACATGACTGCCTAAACTAGTTTGGTTAAAAACACCTTTTTTTTGTATTTGCCGTTACATTTTAAGCCGCCTACAGTCTCCTGCGCACCAAGGACGCTGCGCTAGGTAAGAGTCGCCGTCAACTGTTCTCTGCGGATTAAGAATAACACGCAGTTCACCGCCGACAGTTTCCTGCGGACCACGTGTGCTGGACTAAGTATGACTCGCCATCAACAGTCACCCGCGAGCTAATATCCCCTTCCCCTGGTAAAAAGCGCGCGCTCGCAAATTTGGGACTCGGAGCATCCGGTCTCGGTGGTCGAGCGGCAGAGCTATGGCTCTCAGGGGCACACAATGCAGCAGACAGAGCTATTTGCCTGCTGGAATTTCCGCTGTGCGGTCGCCACAGACGCTGCTATGGTACGTTTACACTTGCAGATCCGCTAGCGAATCCGTCCAGCTTTTGCCACAGAGGCGAAACGCTGGGCGGAAAACGCGGGACCTGTTTCTGCCCCCGAATGAGGCGTTTCGCGAAACGGAAGTGGCATTCTTGCGCGGCACAATACTGCCTATGTCACGAGTACGCCTTCTTCCGGAAGCAGCAACGCCCGGGAGAAGCAGCCGAGGTGGGTACTCTCGCGCCTTCTCGTCATATTTGACGGGATATTATGAAAACAGCTGCCGCAGCAGTTTCGAAGGAAATAGATGTGAACACAACCCGCTCATCGCCGCCGC